TCTTTAGCTCTTTTCAAATTGTTGACTTCATTTTCAGATTCAATTTTTGGTATCAATTTCAAATCGTTTTTTATTTCCAAAATGGCCCGCTGAGGATCATTAAATTTTGCACAGATTTTAGACCAAATTTCTGTTAAAGACAATCGTTGACCAATTAAAATTGACATTATACGTTCCGGTTCGTTTTTCACAGTTTTCAATAGCATAGATTTTTTTAAATCCTCCGAAATCATATCATTCTTAATCAATAAATTTTCGATCATAATTTTATACGAATTCCAATTCGCATATTTTCCATCGAAACTAGGCAACTGATCAGTTTTTATCGGACGATAAGTATTCGAAAGCGATAAATTAGCAAAATTCTGTCCAAGATCATTAGGTAGCACAGAATCATGTGAATCATCCGAATTATTAACACGACCACCGTGAGACACATTATCGCCATCCTCAGCATCCAGATTTACATTTATATGTTCGTTACGTACCATAGAACTAGAAGATTCATCTAAAGACATCGCATTGTCATTACGAATTGAAGATGACGAAAAGCTAGAAACTGGTGACTTCAATCGATTTATATAACGATCCAGTTTCACGTTGTAATATTCTACTTTTTCTTCAATTTCTGATGGAACTTCTTCATTTTCTGGAATCAAATCAAACAATTCATCGTTCAAAGCCCTCAATTCTGTACGCAAAGCTTCTGCCCGTTCAATATCCCATCTCCAATCGGTCAATCGAGATACGCTTCTTCGACACGCTGTTAATTTTTTCTTTAATTCGTCGGGGACAGAAATCATATTGGCAAATTTTTAATAACTTCAGGTTCCAAAATCTTCAAAATTTTCAAAATGGTTCACAAAGTAACAAAATCACAAGATCAAAATATCACAAAATCACAATAAAAAGCCACGTGTTAACGTTTAATAAATGTGATAAAACAGAAACAAATTTGTTCGATTAAATTGGTTTATTAAACGTTTACGTATTGGCAATCAAAAATGAAATGTAAAAAGTTCATGTTGTTTAAATACATTGAAAAATAGAACAAGGAAAAAAGTTCGAAGTTCGAGAAAAATCAATCGTATTGAATTTTCTCACACTCCCCACGAGATTCAAGTTTAATAATACCAACGACTGGACGAATCAGCTCTAAATTTTTTTCAAGATCCTTAATTCTAATGCTTCTAATGGTTCCATCATTGTTATTAGATATTGACAATACTCGAAATACAGGCCATTCGTGTCTTTTTTTCATTTCAGTAGGAACCAAAACCAAATCACCGACTTTTAAATTGTCCATCGCTGGTGGATTATTCTGATTTAACGAAGAAAGATATTGATGACGCCACAATTTTTTAAATTTACGACGAATATTTTCTAAACGCTCCATCCATTTGAAAGCTGAAAAATTTTCGCCGGACTCCATATTCAAAGGAACTTGTGGTCGACCATAAGCCAATTCAAAAGGGGAAATTGAACGCTCGTCATTACTGATGATGGGTCGATTATTGATTTCCGATTCTATACGTAGAAATATTGTTTTCGCATCTTCGACTGAACGAAATTCACTATCGAAAACTCTAATACATCTTTTCACTACAGCAATTAGACGTTCGGCTGTACCATTAAACCAAGGGGCACAAGGAGGAGAAAAAATCCATTCGATACAGCGATTATCAGTTAATTTGAATTCACGAAAAAAATCACAAAACTTGCTAATTTCTTTGTTTGCGCGGACGAAATTAGTACCATTATCACTATAAATTTTTTTGGGTGTTCCACACAGTAGAAAAATATGATCTAATGCAACCAAAGTAGCATTAGCTGATAAAGATTGTACCACTTCTAATTTGACCATACGAGAAACCAAACAAGTAGCAATTAGACCATAAAATTTTTTGCCATTCTTATATTTCATCGGACCGAAAAAATCAATACAAATTGCTTCAAAAGGAGATGCAAATTGAGTTCGAGACGACGGAAGATCAGCAAAAGGCTGGACAAACGGTTTTTTCTTTTCAATTTGACAAAAACGACAATAATAAATAAACTTTTTTACCAATCGATATAAATTTTGAATGTAATACTTCGCTTGTATATTTGCCATTGTAGTTCGTATGCCACTATGAAAATTTTTTTCATGATAATGTTTGATTAAAGCCACGACTAAAGCAGATTCTTTCGGAATCCAAATTGGACTAAAATTAGGATCTCTAGTCCTAATTCGAATACAATCACCAAAGAAAAAAGGCAAATTCAACTTATTACAATCGTGCCCATATTGAGCAAAACGATAAATGAGATTCCAACGATCATTTGCAGTATTACCTTCCGGTAATAAATTGCTCACAAAATTCATAAATTGATCAATAGATTCCATTTTCTCAAAATCTTCCTTCTGACCGGCAAATTCAAAATCGTTACTTGAAATCATAGCAATGCGAAAAACTTTAAACAAATTCTGATCCGATGTATCGAAATGGACATTGTCGATAACGAAATTCAAACTTTTCAAAAATTGTTTAGTATTAGTAATTCTACTGAATAAATCTGCCGGATTGTTAGAACCATTAACGTGACGTAATAAAATGTTCAAATCATTAATAATTTTCATAGTTTTCATTAATTGAGAAGCTACTTTTCGATTTTGATCGTTCGGCGAAGAATTAAATCGATATAAATTCACTTTTGAATCCGACCAAATGGATATTGGTCCCGTAAAAATGGAATGAATTCGATATAAAATTTTACCAAGTTCATATAAGGCTCTCAGTTCTAGTTCGACAATAGATTGAGCCTTACTCGGAGCTAATTTAGCTTTTCCAAATAAGAAATGCATTTGCTCATTCTTCCGAATGTAAATAACATAACCATAAGCTGAAGCAGAAGCGTCCGAAAAGCCATATATTTCACCATCAGCCGGTAAATAACGATTCATTTTTAAATCAGATAATTTCTCTGCATCAATTAAATGATTTTCTACTTGTTCAATTATATCATTCGGAATTTGGGCGTCCCAATCAAGATGAATCGTCTGGCGGTACAATAATCGTAATTTAAGTTTCCATGGATCAAGAAATCCGTAAGGATCAAAAAATTTCCCAATGATAGCTAAAAGATCCCTTCTAGTTTTTACAGGATTCCATTTAGGAAAGACATTAGAAATAGTGTCTTCATTGGTATTCCAAATAGTACCAAGAACTTTCGTTTCTTCACTATAATCAGATTGAAATTTAGAAGTCAACATTTCACTATTTGAATGAACTTTATGCAAAATAAATCCAGCATTGAGAAAACACATTTTGACTTTTTCAATAGAAAAGATTAATTCTGATTCCGATTCCGAAGTCCAAATAATATCGTCCATATAAATTGAATTAGCAATATCTTCCAAATTCTCGTCACAAAGTAACTTCTGAGTTACATTAGTTAGGATAGCCGGAGAAGAGATCAAACCAAATGGTAATACTTTCATCTGATAAATTTTCAATTGATCTTCAGAATTAATCCACATAAATTTCAAAAATTTCCGATCATCTGGATGGATCATTATTTGCAAAAAAGCCTTTGATAAATCGGCAGTAACCGCGAATTTATTTTTGCGGAAACCAATCAAATGTTCAAAGATGTCAAGCCCACGAGCTTCACCCTTCCAAAGAAACTTATTAATTGCATCAAAACCAAACGATCCATTGAAAACTACACGTATTGGCGTGGAAGAAGAATCCCGATATACTGGATGATGAGGCAAAAAGTAACCATTGGGATCATCTACTTCTTCCGCTTGATCATTATTGACATAATTCATTAGCTGATTTTCATATTCGGATAACATCTGTTGATTTTTCAAACGATTGTTCAAATTTTTCAATACGTTTAAAGCCTTTTTGAAATTATTACTTGGACGCAATTCTGACAAAAAAGGTAATCGCGCCTCATATCTACCATTATCTGTACGACACAACAAAATTTTTTCATCGACATCTTCTTCATCTTCATCTTCAATAGACTCATAAGAATTCAGAACGTCGGCAACACAACAAGTTTGATTAATATTATTTCTCACTTTGTAACGAATATTCCCAAAAATCGAAGGAATTTCTAAAAATTCAGGACGATCTTCAAAGAAGAATGACAAGTTATCTGTGCCAACAATAATCAAATTCTTGTCATTCATTTTCACTGGAAATAAATCAATAATTATTTTTGTCATATTATTCTGAACGATCAAAGAAATTTTTCCATTGCTAGTACCAATTCCTCCTAAAGGAGACGCTGAAACTATACGATTATTGGATTTGATCTTATCTTTACCAACTACTAAATCTTCATCTATCAAAGAAATGTTAGACCCGTTATCCAAAAGCATAGTACTATTATGGCCATTACAAAGGCCATAAATAATAGGTCTATTTTCGTGCTTCGAAATGTTTTCAACTTCAAAAATATTTTCTGGTTGATCGAAAGCATTAATAGCGGCAACTGAACCCAGTTCAGAAGTTTGTTGACTCGAATTCTTATTCACATTCGTATTTGTTTCATTAGATAACATCGTTTTCGGAATAGATTGAAAAAAATGTTGAACGACATCGTGTAATTCTGATGCATGACGTCTCGAGCATTTGTCACAAGCCAATTCCGTAATCTTATCACAATCTCGTCCTGTATGGCCTCTTCGAAGACAACGAAAGCATAAACCTTTGGTTTTGATGATGTTCACAATAGCTTCTTTCGAAAAATTCTTCAAACATTCAAAATTATTCTTATGATTCTTATTACAAACAAGACACAAATTCAATTCAGTCGAAATTGCAGCTGTATTAAGAGATTTTCTCTGACCATCATACGGATTTTTCTTAATTTTGTTATAATCATAAAGCAAAGCTTCTTCATAAATTTGATCAACATATTTAACCAATTCTTCAAAAGTTTTTATTTTTGCCAACATCCGACGTTGTGCTTTATAATAAAATTTTTCAGCAACAGCTTGAATCAAATTTGTTGTGTAGAAACGAACATCCGTTTCCAGGCTATTAATGGCAAGATTAGCACTTTCAACAATATCTTTAGCTCTTTTCAAATTGTTGACTTCATTTTCAGATTCAATTTTTGGTATCAATTTCAAATCGTTTTTTATTTCCAAAATGGCCCGCTGAGGATCATTAAATTTTGCACAGATTTTAGACCAAATTTCTGTTAAAGACAATCGTTGACCAATTAAAATTGACATTATACGTTCCGGTTCGTTTTTCACAGTTTTCAATAGCATAGATTTTTTTAAATCCTCCGAAATCATATCATTCTTAATCAATAAATTTTCGATCATAATTTTATACGAATTCCAATTCGCATATTTTCCATCGAAACTAGGCAACTGATCAGTTTTTATCGGACGATAAGTATTCGAAAGCGATAAATTAGCAAAATTCTGTCCAAGATCATTAGGTAGCACAGAATCATGTGAATCATCCGAATTATTAACACGACCACCGTGAGACACATTATCGCCATCCTCAGCATCCAGATTTACATTTATATGTTCGTTACGTACCATAGAACTAGAAGATTCATCTAAAGACATCGCATTGTCATTACGAATTGAAGATGACGAAAAGCTAGAAACTGGTGACTTCAATCGATTTATATAACGATCCAGTTTCACGTTGTAATATTCTACTTTTTCTTCAATTT